CCTGTTTGAGCCACTGGGACCCACTGACAAATCAATACATCACTGTAATTGATTCTGTCGGGGCTCAAAGTGCTTAATGAGAACTCCCCTCCTCACTCCCTCCCCCTTTTCTCCCCACGTGGGAGTTGGCGGTCCACTTTAATGGTCAGTGGAGCGGATCTTTCCGTGTGCAGCTCGCTGTTACAGGTGGTCAGGATTTCGGAACGCTGACTTCTCAGAAAAGCCTCTCCCAGGTGACGAGTGGTTCATTGGACACAAAACTGGGAGGAGTTCAGGATCGGGTTCCACCGCGGCCGGGCCTCGACCACATGATGACCTGATGGTCACAGCCGTGTGGTCAAAGTTGGAGTCAAAAGGGTTTTGTTTTTCTAGTCTGGTTTAGGACAGATGTCAGGACCAGGAGACAAAGCTGTTTTTCAGCTGAAAACAATGGGGGCAGAGGGAGGCAGGGGGAGTCGGGGGGGAGGCAGGGGGAGGCAGGGCGTCTGGGTGATGAATGTGCGTGAGCCTGACCTTGTTTTTATTTTGTGTTTGTACTTATAAATGCTGAGCCTCCGTGGAAGAAAACTCTCCAGCTGCTTCTGAACAGAGACGTTTGAACGGAGTTCGTCTGAAGAAACAAAATGATTTCAGTGATCAATAACCTCCTGTCATATATGTGTGTGTATATATTTATATATATACACACACATATATATGAGTGTATCTGAGTGAAATGACGTCAAAGTTAAAGAATAATGAGTTTTTAATTACCATGAAAATAGTCTTTATTTCTGACTTTTTAAATTAATTTCCATTTTCTTCTTTTACTGTTGAAACTAAATTAATTTAAATCTACGTCTTTAGTCGTTTAAACTTATTAACATTTACATCAGAATTGTTCTCAAAAACATGTAACTTTTAATTCTCAAAAAGTAAAACTTCCCAAAACTTTGTTGCTTTTATATTTTTATCCACAGATAAATGAAAACAGTTTGATTTTATTCCTGACTTCATGTTATTCTGATGATGTTGATGACTTTAACTTTAACAACTTTATTCTCATCAACGTATTATTTTCATAATGACAATAACATATTTATAACAATATATGATATAATATATATGACAAGATATGATGACATTTGAATCTTTTCATGAAATATAATGTTATCACTTTTACCTCCTCTTCCTCCTCTTCCTCCTCCTCTTCCTCTTCCTCTTCCAGCTCTTTCCGCTCGACCAGTTTTTATGAAGGATCTCAAGGTTTTTCTTTTTCTTTTTTCCCTCTCACTGTTTCTGTTCTCCAAACCTCGGCCTTGAATTGATCAGGGCCTTGAACACCCCCCCCCCCCCCACACGGGCTTCAGGTGTTGGCGCTCGTGGGGCCTCGACCGTGAGCTGTTATTGATCAGGTTGAAGAATTCTCCTGCAGCTGCAGCCGTCGTTCCCAGTGTTGGGTTTTTATCTGAAGTTGATACTTGGAGAAATCGAACCCCCGACCGCAGCCTTAGACGTGTGTGTGTGGGGTTGGTGGAGGGGGGGTCAGTGGGAGTGTTCCACCAACAGCACCAGGTCGTGGTCAGTGGCTGCAGCCGGCCGTCAGTTGACGTCAGTGATCGTTGATGTCAGTGTCCTCCAGGTCAGATTAATAATCCAGGTTAATCCCAGGCTCCTGTTGGAGGAGGAGTTGTGTTAGATGTAGCCCCCCC